TGGGATAAGACGTCAGGGATAATGTTGTATAGGATAATTCATCAGGACAGCTAGGAAGGATATTATACAGATAGATGATGGGTCTTGTAGATGGAAATTATTGAGTAGAAATTTATGCACTATTTAAAACACGCGTAGGAGTGTTTTATCATATTTAAAATGTGGGCAGCACGAGCATTTTAGATATGATAAAACACGACCACAAGTGTTTTGAACAGCTTCAAACACGACTACAACTGATGCCGTCCATTAGTATTCTTTATAAAAAGAATACTAATTAGGATGAACTTTCATATAAAGAATACTAAAGAAGCTGCGTTTTATCAGGTATAAAGCCTCTTCACGTGATAGATAGATAGATAGATAGATAGATAGATAGATAGATAGATAGATAGATAGATAGATAGATAGATAGATAGATACTTTATTTAACATTCAAAAACTCATTAATAATTCATGAACCAATTAACCAATCTTGAGTAAGAAATTAGTCATGTGCATACGTCTTTATACCAGCTAAAGAACACTTTAATAAAAGACCATTGTTATGCAAACTATATAAAGATTTTTGTATAAAGATTTTTATATAAAGATTTGACTTATTATGCATACGTTTTTGAAGCCATTTAAAAAACTCGCAGGTCGTGTTTTATTAATAAAACACTCCTGCTCGTTTTTTAAATAGTACATTATGGTTGACATGATTTGCCATGTCAACCATAATATGTCAATCAAGCTTATGAATTATTAATGAGTGTTTGAAACACATTTATTAGACCTAAAATGCGAAAACTGCGAAAAATGCAACCACAGGTCCCTGCCAGGAACCTGTAGTTGGTCAAATTACCCGATTTGTGAGTGGAATCTGCCCGACTGAATACTCGGTTTGGAGGTTTAGTATAGTTATCTAAACCATTTATGCATCTGCCCTAGAACCAGATTACGAGCACGCCAAGAATAATGCCGCTTTCTTTAAACGTGTGATTAAAAATAAAGAAGTTAAACCAAAAACCAAGAAGGAAAATGCTCCATACATGAAAAGATACAGCAGTCTATGTCGTGGACAAAATAATAAGGTTGGAGAACATTTATCATTATTATTTATGTAAAATAATTCATGGTTTCTGATTGGCTAACAGCCAACTGTGAAATCATCATAGCAACTGAATGACGTCATAAAGTTGATATGACACAAACACATGAACGTTATGACGTCATAACATTGATATGAAAATATTGTATCAACGCTATGACGTCATGCTGTGAAAATACCAATACGAACTATAGAAAACACGGCCAAAACAATACGGTACCGCTTTTGGTTTAAGGAAATTTTTAAGCAAATTTTAAAATATCAAGAAAAAATATCAACGAAAAACAGCCCACATTAGTGGAACATTTTTCGAAATGTTGAAATTCACTATCATCTAAATGTAATTGTCCAACATATTTCGTGTTTTAAAATGGAAGAATTTCCTCCCATCTGTTTGCTCAACTTACGTTTTCGATTTGCCCAGCTGCCCTCCTTCCCCTGCCCCCCCTGTACGCTAATGGCTGAGAAACATTTCATAAAATTAGGTATGATCTGTAGTCCAGATAGAGGACTAGCGTATTAATATTTTTATTTTATAAACTAGACGGCAGTAGAGCTTGCGAAGTTGACATGTTACTACGACCAAAGCACACCACAACTGGTCATCAAACCAGCGAAAATCGAAGTTCTCAATTTGGAACCAAGGATTGTAAGATATTTCAATGTTATTACTGATGAAGAAATTGAAGCCGTAAAGTTACTTGCAGGTCCGAGGGTGAGTGCAATGCCGCGCAAAGTATAGAGCCTCGTTTCTGTGATTGAGACATTGGTTTTAAAGCCCTTTAATAACTCCTGTTACTGATGATATAATCATAAACAGATCGTTCATATTCACTGATATAACTGTACATGTATGGTTTCGTAAATGTGCCACCCATAACCTATCCTAATCACGAAAACGATGCTATATAGCCGAAGACTGAGTCCTTACCGGAAGCCAGGGTCTATTAAGGAGGTTGTGTACACTATTAAGGAGGTTGTGTACGTCTTTTTACCCCACGTGGAGTCGGCCAGGGGGACTTGGCTACTCTTAGAATTGACTCCGGAACTTTAGAGAAAACAGCTTAATTAAACTAAGCTATCAATATATAACAATCCAATACAAAAACGTCTACTTTCCCTCTGCGGAACCATGGAGTAATGCAAGCTAACCTCCAACCCCCCCAGTTGTCCGATAGACGGCAAATTATTTTATCCTAGTCGACAAATTGTTTTCCAAGTTGAAAAAATATGAATTGGATAGGAAGGGGAATATTTGAGTAAAACTGATAATTATGGCAAAAATTGGGCAAAATTAGGGAAACATTAAGCAAACTGAACGAGAAATGTTACGTGAAGAAGAAAGGTAAGGAAAATGAAGATTTTTACCTCGTTCCGCCCCCCCCGGGGCAAAATATCACATGCATAAGGGGATAGTGCCGCCCTTGCCCCTAACTGGACCTCCATGGCAAGTATAAATGTAAGTCATATATAATTGTTGTTTTTAGTTACGTCGAGCAACAATCAACAACCTTGCGACAGGCAAACTGGAGTTTGCCAAATACAGAGTAAGCAAAACGTATGTAGCTGTTTGAGTACGTTTAATCTTTCCTATGGGCATGCATTTGGTAAAATTACGCATTGGCATTGCGCATCGGCATTGCGCATTGGTATTGCGCATTGGCATTGCGTATTGATGCATTGGCATTGCGCATTGCGTATTGGAAAGGAATTAACCATTGAACTACATTACTCTGTCTAACGCCAGACGATTTTACTTGTCAAGGGAAGAGTCGTATTGCGCACCAAAGGATTAAGTTGATAAAATTATGAAAAAATTATGATGAGGGAACATTGGATAAAGAATATCGCTTTCGAAATTTACAGAATATTTATTATTCGCTTGCGTGAAATTTAAGGAATATTGAATATTTGCACAAAAAATAGGGCATACGAAATATTAGGATTTGGGGCATCTCACTCGACGGAACCAACCGGTTGAAAGGAACTTGTAGTTAGAGCTCGTAACTGTCTCTCTGGGTGGCCGGACATTTTGCCGAAAGACACTTTGCCGAAAGACATTTTGCCGAAAGACATTTTGCCGAACGGACATTTTGCCGACGGACGTTTTGCCGAACGGACGTTTTGCCGAACGGACATTTTGCCGAATGGACATTTTGCCGAATGGACATTTTGCCGAACAGACAGTCTGACGAACGGACAACTTGCCGAAAACGGAGATATCTTCTGAACTTTAAAGGTTCGCTTATACGGTCAAAATATCTGTGATTTAAAGTCATTGTCGATTTTGATGACAGAAACTTTGATAGTGAAGTATAGTTTCGTTTTATATTCTTTCAAGTTTTTGACAAGTTTACCGAAATTTCGCGATATAAAGAATAACATCATTCAACATCATTCATTAATGCGATTTCCCCCAGAACTGCAGTGAATGTATTCCATGATTCTCGAAGTAAAATTCGCTTACGTCGTTGTCTTTATATACGCTTGTTTGTTTACGACTTGACGTCGAAACACGTTCCTTAACAAATGAGTCATCAAGCTACCAATAGTCAATATGGTTATGCACTATTAATGACATTATGCAATGCTAATGACCATTATGCACTGCTAATGACCATATAATGATTATTTTACACAATGGTTGAGAATTACACAGTTGAGAAATGAGTCACAGTCCCAAACATTTTGACGAAATAACATCTCTATTTTCGGCAAGTTGTCCTTTCGGCAAACTGTCCGTTCTGCAAAATGTCCGTTCGGCAAAATGTCTGTTCGGCAAAACGTCCGTTCGGCAAAACGTCCGTCGGCAAAATGTCCGTTCGGCAAAATGTCTTTCGGCAAAATGTCTTTCGGCAAAGTGTCTTTCGGCAAAATGTCCGGGTACCAGTCTCGTACCTTACTATGTGACTACTCACCCTCCAGCTATTCGAAAACAGCACTGACACTCAAGGGAAGCTCAGATTGAACCTCCACTTTTTAAGTGTGAGTGAGCTTTTGGAATACGGTCGTATCTCAGTAAAATAATTTGGAATAAGGAATATTTATCGTATAATTTAAAAAACGTGGAATATTTCTGCTTCCACACCCATATTTTCGATGGGATTTGACAGAATACGATGATCTTTATTCGCATTCAAATAAGTATGAGCAATTTTTACACGCAAATCTTGACATGTTTCCCCCTCCATTTTGACAGGGCTTGGTTGGAGGATCATGAGAGTGAGGTGGTACATCGTATTAGTACAAGAATTTCCAGTTTGACCGGTTTAGATGCCAGTTTTCAAGCTGCTGAAGAAATGCAGGTAATTTGGGTATTTCAGAACTTGAAATACCTCATGACCTTGTTTACCTCATGACTTTGTTTTTAAAACCAGAAATCAACTCAACCAAAACTAAACTGTTGAGCCCGGGTTAAATCAGGATGAGAGTTGACGATAGTTGATGGCAGTTGCAACTATCGTTCGCGTTTAACCGCAAATTCTCATGCACTCTCTCATCCGAACTTTCAGCTGCGCTGGTTCAAATCTTTATGAAAGGTGACGAATTTATGACCGGTAATATCTAGCCAAAACTGCCATCAACTCTCTTACAATTCCTGTTTTCGTTTGACTTGGGCATGAGAGTTTAGAAAACTCTCATGCAAACTCTCGCTTCTCAATTCTCATATGCTCTCTTGAATCTCTTGTTAGTACGTTCTTGTTTCATCGGAGTTTTAATTTATTCTCAGGTTGCAAACTATGGTATAGGAGGTCACTATGAACCACATTGGGATCATGCTATAGTAAGTAGTGATCATCATGGATAAGGATGAACGGAATTTAACTGGTCATGGACAGTGAACTCTCTCTGTATCTATCTGGAGTAAGACATTCAATCAGATCAGTGTCCAAAATGTATATGAAGGTCATGAACGTTCATACCATTTTTCCCCAGCTAATTTTGGTTTTCACTAACGTATAGAATCGCTAAACAAGTTATCGGTTAAGAAAACTATAGTATTATTCTTTTTATGTCAAAGTCAAAACAAGAAATTTCATCACATCGCGCAGACAGGAAACAATAGAAAGGGGCTGACACTGGAAGTCAAATTTCACTCTTTCTCGAAGTCTAAAATTTACATCTGAATTGAAGATGTCTGAATTGATAAAGTGTGGATTTCATGTAGATGTTGTGGGATATATATAAGTTCCTGTGGTCCATTTTAGGGGCAAAAAGGGACAAAAAGTCTAAAAGTCTTTAACAGTCCCAAAATCCACAAATATAAGCTTGACAATACTAGAAATTCATAAAATATACTATTGTCTATTGAAATCTAAAATTTACATCTGAATCGAATATGAATCTGCAGTTTTAATCGAGTAAATCTGGATTCTGACGAGCGAAGACTGCTCTGGTACGAATATTTCTAGCCAGACAAATAATTCTTTTACATTGCCTCTTTGGGAAAATCGGATATAATTGTGTTTTAACGTACAGCTTTACCAGAACATTGAAAACAACAAAATATTGTTTTACTTCTACAAAAATTCTGGAAATATTAAAAAAAGTGAAAGTTTGGAGAGACACTTTCTAGGAAATTTCGAACCCTGAGCCCGCAATCCTCTGCGAAGGCTTGCTGAGGCTTAGAGATTGTTTCTAGGAGTGATTTGCCCCTCGATTCTATGCGTACATGTCTACTACTGCAAGGTTATAATCCTAATTTGAACATAAATTTTAAGGACATTACACGGACTTTTCACGGTCTAAATATGTAATTTTAAGGACCAAGTGCAAAAAATTCCTTGCAGAAAAACAGTTGCTGTTAAAAATAAAAGTGTGTGGGTCATGTAATGGAGACTGAAGCAATTTACTGTCTGTATGCCTCTTTATTGCCTTTCACCGATGGATGCGAGCTTGGGAAGGCGAGTTGGGCGAGCATATGTAGTTTAAAATGCAAGGTTTATTTTCATGAACTATATTGTACATTTTGAAAATTTTAAGAACTTTTGAGTACTCAATTTCGCAAAATGAACTTTAAAGACTTTCATGATAATGGACCAGTGTGAACCCTTTTGATATGCATGCGAATTTGGTGGTGACGAGCACACCTCGTCAATTATGTCTACTCTCTTTCTACTCTAAATTTACACCAGCAGCTCACAAAATTTTCAAATTTTAGAATCCCCAAGCATCAATTCTTAGAATACACAAAGGAAACCGAATGGCAACATTCCTCATTTATGTGAGTATTTCATACAGCATTAAATAAAAAATGCCAAGTAAACATTTTTTAAAAATCGATATATTTGGACGCCATTTTGGATTTCATGTGACGGTGCCACTGGTGTGACCATCACAAATCTGCTGTGGTATTGGTGGTATAGTGGAAGAGGAGGCCTCTAGCTCCACCTCCATTTGCCCGTGAATAACTAAGAAGTCACACTAAGATGGCTGCCACAAGTCTCATTATCTAGCTAGTGTTAAAAGGCTCCTCATTACCAGAGATGTGGAAAGCTATATCTTTGAAGTGAAATAGGAAAAGACATTTGCTTCATGACAATATGAAACCATCTCGTTGAGGAACTTAGTTTGAATACGGATAGTCTTTCGTCATTTAAGTCGGCAATGTTAAGTATCATATTTCCTCTTTGTACTCGGGTTACGATGTTAGATCTGTAATTCTGTTCGTACTCTCATAACGTCATTATTGTGTTGTATATGCCGGAAATTTTACTACTGTTCTTTGTTATTTAATATGTGTATTGTTGTAATTTATTTACTCGGGGGCCCGCAGTACTTGGCAATTACGTTGTTGCGCCGTTCCATGCAACTATGTATAGATGTTCAAGGCGAATTAAATAAATTATATGTGGCTAGTTTAAACACGTCGCGTTCCGATTTGCACAGATTCTCATCTCATTACACATATTCTGGATTCATAATTGGTTGACTGAATTCGTAGTTTTCAGATAAGAGGCGGAGCACCGTTAACCCTGATTTCGATATGGTCATAAAGATTGAGTCACGATCTTTCTCATCAGCCCAAACACAGCATTTTAGAACTGAAGATACGCGGAGTGATTATAACTAGAGAATACTTATCATTTATATGTAGTTTAATACTTTACAGGTATAAACTATTATAAACTGGCCGTTGAGAAAGATCACGACTCTATTTTTACGACCATTACGCCCATATGGAAACCAAGCCTTAAGCGTTACCAAATCCTCTGAGCTCAAGACTGATTGTGACGTTGATATTAGAGAAATATGCAATACAATGGATGCCAATTTTCAGCGATTGTCTTTAGTAATGTCAAATTTATTTATTTTAGATGAGCGACGTGGAATCAGGTGGTTACACGGTATTCATGAGAGCCAATGCAATAGTCAAACCTGTCAAGGTAATCCAACCAGTTATATACTTTACATTACTAGAGACGGTATTGCTTGTTAAGCGCCCAGCTTGATAAGAAGTTGTCGACAATTTGCAAAAGGTTGTTGACTCAACAAACTTGTTACAAGGTTGACGACTCAACAGACTTGTTACAAGGTTGATGACTGAACAGACTTGTTACACGGTTGATGTCTTAACAGATTTGTTACAAGGTTGATGACGTAACAGACTTGTTACAAGGTTGTTGACTTAACAGACTTGTTACAAGGTTGATGACTCAACAGACTTGTTGCAAGCTTGATGACTAAACAGACTTGTTACAAGGTTGATGAATCAGCAGACTTGTTACAAGGTTGTTGACTGAACAGACTTGTTACAAGGTTGATGACTTAACAGACTTGTTACAAGGTTGATGACTCAACAGACTTGTTACAAGGTTGATGACTGAACAGACTTGTTACAAGGTTGATGACTCAACATACTTGTTACAAGGTTGATGACTGAACAGACTTGTTACAAGGTTGATGACTGAACAGACTTGTTACAAGGTTGATGACTGAACAGACTTGTTACAAGGTTGATGACTCAACAGACTTGTTACAAGGTTGATGACTGAACAGACTTGTTACAAGGTTGATGACTCAACAGACTTGTTACAAGGTTGATGACTCAACAGACTTGTTACAAGGTTGATGACTTAACAGAATTGTTACAAGGTTGATGACTCAACAGACTTGTTACAAGGTTGATGATTTAACAGACTTGCAACAAGGTTGATGACTCAACAGAGTTATCACAAGGTTGATGACTCAACCGACTTCTTACAAGGTTGATGACTGAACAGACTTGTTACAAGGTTGATGACTCAACAGACTTGTTACAAGGTTGATGACTCAACAGACTTGTTACAAGGTGATGACTGAACAGACTTGTTACAAGGTTGATGACTGAACAGACTTGTTACAAGGATGATGACTTAACAGACTTGTTACAAGGTTGATGTCTAACAGACTTGTTACAAGGTTGATGACTGAACAGACTTGTTACAAGGTTGATGACTTAACAGACTTGTTACAAGGTTGATGACTGAACAGACTTGTTACAAGGTTGATGACTCAACAGACTTGTTACAAGGTTGACGACTCAACAGACTTGTTACAAGGTTGACGACTCAACAGACTTGTTACAAGGTTGACGACTCAACAGACTTGTTACAAGGTTGACGACTCAACAGACTTGTTACAAGGTTGATGAATCAACAAACTTGTTACAAGGTTGATGACTGAACAGACTTGTTACAAGGTTGATGACTTTTAATAACAGACTTGTTACAAGGTTGATGACTGAACAGACTTGTTACAAGGTAGATGAATCAACAGACTTGTTACAATGTTGACGACTCAACAGACTTGTTACAAGGTTGACGACTCAACAGACTTGTTACAAGGTTAACGACTCAACAGACTTGTTACAAGGTTGATGAATCAACAGACTTGTTACAAGGTTGATGACTGAACAGACTTGTTACAATATTGATGAATCAACAGACTTGTTGAAAGGTTGACGACTCAACAGATTTGTTACAAGGTTGATGAATCAACAGACTTGTTACAAGGTTGATGACTCAACAGACTTGTTACAAGGTTGACGAATCAACAGACTTGTTACAAGGTTGATGAATCAACAGACTTGTTACAAGGTTGATGACTGAATAGACTTGTTACAATGTTGATGAATCAACAGACTTGTTACAAGGTTGATGACTCAACAGACTTGTTACAAGGTTGATCAATCAACAGACTTGTTACAAGGTTGATGACTCAACAGACTTGTTACAAGGTTGATGAATCAACAGACTTGTTACAAGGTTGATGAATCAACAGACTTGTTACAAGGTTGACGACTCAACAGATTTGTTACAAGGTTGATGACTCAACAGACTTGTTACAAGGTTGATGAATCAACAGACTTGTTACAAGGTTGATGACTCAACAGACTTGTTACAAGGTTGATGACACAACCGACTTGTTAGAAGGTTGATGAGTCAACAGACTTGTTACAAGGTTGATGACTCAACAGACTTGTTACAAGGTTGATGACCGAACAGACTTGTTCCAAGGTTGTCGACTTTTAATAACAGACTTGTTACAAGGTTGATGACTCAACAGACTTGTTACAAGGTTGACGACTCAACAGACTTGTTACAAGGTTGATGAATCAACAGACATGTTACAAGGTTGATGACTGAACAAACTTGTTACAATGTTGATGAATCAACAGATTTGTTGCAAGGTTGACGACTCAACAGATTTGTTACAAGATTGATGAATCAACATACTTGTTACAAGGTTGATGACTCAACAGACTTGTTACAAGGTTGATGAATCAACAGACTTGTTACAAGGTTGATGACTGAACAGACTTGTTACAAGGTTGATGACTCAACAGACTTGTTACAAGGTTGATGACTGAACAGACTTGTTACAAGGTTGATGAATGAACAGACTTGTTACAAGGTTGATGACTGAACAGACTTGTTACAAGGTTGATGACTGAACAGACTTGTTACAAGGTTGATGACTGAACAGACTTGTTACAAGGTTGATGACTCAACAGACTTGTTACAAGGTTGACGACTCAACAGACTTGTTACAAGGTTGATGACTCAACAGACTTGTTACAAGGTTGATGACTCAACAGACTTGTTACAAGGTTGATGACTGAACAGACTTGTTACAAGGTTGATGACTGAACAGACTTGTTACAAGGTCGATGACTCAATAGACTTGTTTCAAGGTTGATGACTCAACAGACTTGTTACAAGGTTGTTGACTGAACAGACTTGTTACAAGATTGATGACTCAACAGACTTGTTACAATGTTGATGACTCAACCGACTTGTTACAAGGTTGATGACTCAATAGACGTGTTACAAGGTTGATGACTGAACAGACTTGTTACAAGGTTGATGACCGAACAGACTTGTTACAAGGTTGACCACTGAAAAGACTTGTTACAAGTTGTTGACTGAACAGACTTGTTACAAGGTTGATGACTCAACAGACTTGTTA